TGTCATTGTGATGGTACAGTAATGAACCATTGCATACGAAAAACGATTATGAGTGAAGGTTTATCTATGTCTATATACATGCATAAGAAAATTATTTTTGACATGTTTTAGCTGAAAATTATTTTTGAAAGTCATTCTATTGTTATTAAAAAAAAATTAACAACCCCTTAACTTCCCTCTCTCAAAAACTAAATTTGCCACTGGCTATGATATAATTGAGCTGTAGAACTATATTTCTATGGTGACACAGGGTTCATTTGCTAAACTTAATTTCGTATGTTGCACGTGGGTCAGAGAGAGAAAACGAATTGTGCTCTGGAATCTCAATATTATTTTCACTAATAAATCTATATCCGGTTAAGGTTTAAATGAGATAAAATATTGGTTGGTTGTCTTAGACAGGCAGTTCACAGTTCACACTGTATGGATGAGCAAAATGATTGCGAATTTATGGTTATTAGTTTATTACTTATTAGCTTCATATTATGTAGCTATCTCACATAACCAAGTCGCCTATCATAGTATAACATATTTATACATTACACCCATGGAACATGATGGCTAAATAAGACATGAAATTACGCCCTAAAGTGTTCCGTGTCGGGTAAATGCGCCCAAACGGAATTCCCCCCCCCCCATTCAATATGGATTTAGTAATGACTAATGATTATTGAATACATTCTCAGTGAGTGTTATAAAATAATAATTATATAAAAATCAATAAAAATAAGTCCAAATATCATAAATAATTTAAATAATACATTTCTATAGTCAGTGAATACGTCATTTAAAGAGAGGGGTTTTAAGTCTTAATCTTAATTTTTATTTTTGAGTAAAAAAAGTTGACATTTTAAAATGTTATATACATGATACACTAAAATGTTATCCTAGCTGAAAATTTGTTTCATGATCCCTTTATGCAGAATATTCTAATATATTAATTAAATTTTGATTTTATGTTTATTACTTATATTATCCACATAATAAACTATTTAACATTAACCGATAATAAAATCTCATTAATTAATAGATTTTTCACTTTTTAAGGATCTATATGATGTATATATGGTATTTATAAACATATTGTATGTAATGAATATGTTATATTTTTGAAATTTATGGATTTTTAATTATATAGGTATATATGAGTTATGAGTGTATAATAAATTGTTCACAATAAAAATGCTCATAACTCACTTAAACATTAAATTATCATAAAAAAAACTTCCAACAAAACACAGATAATGTTTTTTATGGTGTTTTCCTCTTGAATGTATTATTTTATTATTTTTAATATAATGCATAATTGCACATTTATACATGGAAAAAATATAATACTAAAGCTTTACAGTATCCCTAATATTTATAAGTTATTTTACCAAATTACAAACAACCAAGTAACCAATTAAAAATAATATTTCTAAACAAAAGTTCTCTCAAAGCAGTACAGTCACTGATAACTAGACACTCAATATCAACATTCTACTTTTTTTTATACACAAAAACAATTAATGAGTGATTAAAAATTAAGCTTGTTGTGAAATTCTCCACTTTTAATAAAAAATATATTATACTCTCATTAACAAAAAGGGTTTTTGATAAAACAACACATTTTTAACAATAACAGTACACTATATAAATATAAACGTTTAAAAATGAGAGTAACAATAATCACATTTAAGTAGATGAAATTACATTTTATTTAAATATAAAAACATAATCGGTTTTAAAGAGCCTCTCTGAGAATATATCAACTTATTTTGTATGTTTTGTTTGGTCCCAAAAATTAAAGAATTTGCACTTAAGCTTTGTAAGTGCTAGCCGAAACATCACCACCAGTACCAGTCCAGTTTGTGTGAATATATTTTCCAGGAGCTGTTAATAGCTCATATGTATGGGCACCAAAATAGTCACGTTGAGCCTAGCAAAATAAAAATTTTACATATATAGTGGAGCACTAAATAAGTATGGTATGTATTTTACCTGTAATAAATTTGCTGGAAGCCTAGCACTTCTGTAACTGTCGTAAAAGGCAAGAGCCGTGCTGAACGCTGGAGTAGGGATTCCTAGCATAGCACTTGAAGCAACCACCTTGCGCCAAGCTACTTGACTATTGTGTACGGCATCTTTAAAGAATGGATCAAGTAACAAATTCTTAAGATTTGGATCAAGTTCAAAAGCTTGTTTGATCTTTCCCAAGAATGCACTAGATTCAAACTTTTGCGTTAAACAATTTCTTTTGTAATTAATGATATATATAATAATACAACCTTCTAATAATACATCCTCCACGCCACATGAGTGCAATTCCTCCATAATTCAAGTTCCAGCCATGTATTTTTGCAGCTTCTCGCATCAACATGAATCCTTGAGCATATGAAACAATTTTAGATGCGTATAGTGCCTTAAAACAAAATTTAAATATAAAATTTTAACGAAAACATAATATGTAATATATCAACAAATAAATATTCAGTTATCCAAATAATTGAAATACAGTAAAAATCACAACAAACATCATTTAGAAAGAGTAAACCGCAAGAGTCAATATTAAATAGTACATAAAAGTATACATTTACACCATATATGTATTAGTGCGATATCAACACTATGACATGTATACATCTTCTACATGCTACATTAGTTACTACCAGCAAACCAAAATCTTTTGTAGTATAGATGTAGATGTGAATAAAAATACAGTTAACATATAATCAAGAAGTACAAAGTTCTATTTTTTCCAAATTTTAAATAATTAAGATTATATGAGTTTCTAATAACAACAAAAAAACTCAATGATCCTTGCATTTTTACAGTATTTAAAATTAAGTTACCTTTCCAATATCTTTTAAGAAAGCTTGCTTATCTCCATTAAAGGCATCAGTTGGTCCTTGAAGAACTTTACTAGCCTCTGCTCTCTCGTCAATTAATGAAGATAGACAACGTGCAAACACAGATTCTCCAATAAGTGTGACTGGAACGCCATAATCCAATGCAGAAATAGCAGTCCATTTACCAGTACCTTTTTGGCCAGCTGCATCACGAATTTTCTCAACTAAATATTCTCCATTGTTGTCTTTAAACTGCAATATGTTTCTTGTGATTTCTATTAAAAATGAGTCCAATTCACCCTTGTTCCATTCATCAAAGGCCAATGCCATCTCTTTGTTATTCATTTTTAAAGCAGATTTCATCAAATGGTATGCTTCACAAATAAGTTGCATGTCTCCATATTCAATACCATTGTGAACCATTTTCACAAAATGGCCAGCACCATCCTCACCAACCCAATCACAACAAGGTTCACCATCAGCTTTAGCAGCAATACTCTGTAAATTTAGATATTGTTAGATACAAAATTGGGGAACAATTTAAATTCTTAACAATCATAATAGGAACATACTCCATTTCAGCATAATATTTACATATTATATTCTTAATATTATTTAAAATAAAATCTTGAACAAAGTGAAAGTAATTACTTTCATAGCATTATTATAATATCATTTTGGTAGATATGATATTACAATATTATACATGTGGCAGGTAGCTGCCTTGAGGCAGTATGAAAATATAATCAAAAACACACCCAAATAGCCCTGTACTAGTCATTAGAACAATAAACAAAACTATTTTTAACTGTACACATGACATGAATGAACTTGTAAATACTTATAATATTTTGTTGGTTTAATGGAAATATTTATAAGATCAAGGCTAGGTTGAAAAATATATGAGTTTGAACAGGATTTTTATATAGATCAACTTACCAAGACTAGGTTCTTAAAATGTATTGTAATAGTATTTAAATAAATATATTAGTTGAAGGTAATAAAAAATCTAAATGATAACATAAAATGTACAACATAGCACACCATCAAAAGTATAATTATCTAATAATAATCTACTTTCTACAAGAAATTTAATATAAAATATACCTAGATATAACAAATAAAAGTTGATAAATAAGTAAAATAACAAGTCTACTTGTCTACAAAGTCCCAAGAGTACTTGCCGTGTATCTTCATAGTCATACTATACCTAATTATAACTGGTTGTTATAGAGAAAATATATAAACTAAATATTCATATTAAGGACTACTCACTTGAAAAATATCCTTGATATATGGCCAAGCTTTTGGATTTCCTCCAGGCATCAATGATGGACCATATCGTGCTCCCTCTTCACCACCAGATACGCCTGAACCAACAAACAACAAGCCTTTTTGAGCGAGTGCTTTAGTTCTGCGTTGTGTATCCTGGTATTCAGAATTTCCACCATCGATAATTATATCACCCGTTTCCAACATAGGTTCAAGTTGAGCAATAAAATCATCAACAGCACTACCAGCTAGAATGAAAGTAAACTAATCATTAATTATATTAATCAAAGAAAATGTAATAATTTCCAATGTTATACTTTAATATTGATTTTAAAAATGAAGAATACTTGATTTATTTTCTTAATGTTTTAATGAGTAATTTATTTAAGTTATTGTGAAAATACTTAAGGTCTTACATGTGTCACTAAATTATATTTTGATAATTTTAGTGGCAGAAAATATACATTGAGTACAGCAAAATATTAACTGGCCAAATGTAAATAAAAATAATTATGTAATAAATAAGTATGCATTTCAAAAAAAAATTTATTTCATAAAAATTAAMATGGTCAGATCAAAAAATAAAATACAATATACAAATGTATGTCAGCCTCAGCAGCATTATCTTCGTAATTCAAAAAAAAAGAGGCAACCAGGCAACCATAGACATATATAAACATTATTGCTTATATATTATGTCTATGCAGGCAACTGAATAAAATTAAAATATTTCATGTTGGTATCATTTGTTTTAATGACATTCAGAATTTCAGACACAGAAATACAGAATGTATATAGGTATATCGTATATATATATATTTCATATATTCTGTGATTCAGATAACATTACAGATAACACTTTAAGCGTTATCAGTAGCACGTTTTTGAACACGAAAATTAAGAGATTTAAATCTGAACTTAATGTAATCATTTCAATCRTTTATTCATTTTTATAAAGCGATTCTTTTCAAATAATCCGAAATAATATTAATATTATTATTTATTTAGAGTTTGATCGCACCTTGAACGTATCTATAAAATCGAACTTTCGTATAACGTGTAGACTGTAATAAAAATGGATAAACCGAGTGTATACAACTTCGGTACCGACGACGATTCAGTTCCATCAATAGAACAATCCGTTGACATAACTGAAGATGTTCCACCGACTGTTGTTCAACGATACTTTGAATCTCGTTACGCAACAAACGTCAACGACAAACCTAACCAAGACTACAGCGTGTTAATTCATTCCAACAATCTGTGCATCTTGTCGTTGGCATCCACGCATGTTTTAATGGGCAAAACCATAAAAAAAATAGATTTCCAGGTGTCAGAGAACACTGATCGCCTCAGCAACATTATGACAGGAAAAGGAAAACGAGGAGCTCAAATTGTGCAGGCAGGGTCAACTCTATGTAAGGTTTATTGTTCGGACGGCGAAGAACACAAAATACTATCAGCCGTACCAGGCAAATTGGTGCAAATGAACAGCAAACTAGCAGAAACCCCAAATATCATGTTGAACAAACCAGATGATGTTGGTTTTATCGCAATAGTGTTACCACAAAAACAAAGGTTTGAAAAAATCAGAGACGGACTCATGACTAAAGAACAATACACAACTAGAAATTCCACGGTTTGACATGAATTATATTTTTTTTTTTTTTTTTAATGTGTACTATTATTTAATAAATAAATAAATTTCTTGAACATACCTGTAACTAAGGATTGTAATTTAAATTTAAGCTCTGCAATTATAATAATATTATGTTTTGATAAATTTTATGAAATTAGTAGATTAGTTTATTGTTATATTATTCCTTCGATTTCTTACTGATTAAAATAATATTATGTTTTGATAAAACTGATAAAAGTAATAGTTTTACTACTGCCTACCAATACTAATAGTATCTATAAGTAAGTTGATTGATTTGTCTTTCATGAACATTCAATACTTCAATAACTAGACAATCATTATAAATATTTAATGAGGAACATTTAAAGTAAGTTTGCATTGAACCAACAATCATATTATACTTGTTAACACAGCTCGTGTACAGTACATGTATACCAAACTGCCGAAATACTTAGCTTAGATGTGCGCACTGAAGCAGTGAATGGTGCTTTCACTGAACATGCCAACTAATTTTGGATTTAAATGGTCAGAGTAAATATTAATTTTAAATGCCAATTACCCATTTTTATAATATGCACACCTGTGTCAATACCAGACGACATTTTACTCTTATCACATAATCGAATGAAATACGAGCAAATAGTTTTTACTTGCGCACCTTTCGCTAGTTTTACTTATGAGATATTATGGACAAATAAGTTGGCCGCCTATTATTCTGTAGGACTGGTTAAAAATGTGCGCTCTACTGGATAGAAAATCCTGCGACTCGTCACTATCATATTTTGGAAATCAGTTTCAAAATGGGACTTTTGAAAAAGGTGCAGTATAGTGCAAGTACCTACCTATACATACTATGCTACTTGCATCGATATAATATTCAACGTTAACTTTATGGATTTGACTCACCTTTGACGAGCATCATGACTCTGCGAGGCTTTTTCAACGAGTTCACCAATTCTTTGAGCGAGTGAGCGCCAACGATGTTCGTGCCTTTGGCACCCTTTTGCAGGAACTCGTCCACCTTCTCGACGGTCCTATTGTAGGCGGTGACGACGAACCCGTGATCGTTCATGTTGAGTATGAGATTTTGGCCCATGACGGCCAAGCCGATGAGTCCGAAGTCTGATCTGCGAAGCAAATAAGACATGTCAGCGACCGGAAATCGGTGAAAACGGTAAGCGCTCAATACGGCTACCAGTGTCGAGTTAGATGATTCGGTACGGTAAAATACAATCGTATTATAAGTGTTGTACTTACTTGCCACTCATGGTGTTCGCGTTCGGCGTGCGTGTTGACGACAAGACGGTCACTGGGTGAATGGCGTACGCCGTACGGGCGGTCGGCGCGCGATGCCGATAACCGCGATAAAAACGACCAGCGAAACGGATCAAGGTCTCGCCGCTCGGTATATCGGTATGTTCTACAGCAGCTGCCAAGGTCGACCCGCCGACCGACTGGTTCGCCGAGAGTGGAGTAAACGACGGTACGAAACTACGAACGCAGTGTACTTACTACTTGTGTACAACAACTGCCAAGGGTATGACCTCAACGCGAACCTGCGGCGGCGTGCCGTTGTTTATAATATTACGTCTATGACGGATTTTTTTTTTTCGCCTTTTCACTTTCGAGTATTCGCCTCGATTCGGCGGTGTCCGGTCGTAATTATTATTGTTATTGTCGTTGTTATTATTAGATCGCGTTAGGTACGTTTGCACTTACGATCTAGATCATATTTTTATTATATTATTTTATTGTATGAGGAAAATGAACGATAGTTAGACCGCAAAAACTCGGCGCGTCATTGTAACGATCGTAATTTGTAACGTCACTCACCGCAAATTCGTGATAAAAGGTCGAAGGGCCGCTTGCAAGCACGCGAACGGCGTTGTTCGCCATAGAAAAAGTAAAAGTATTATTCCCATTAGGAGGTACCTACCTACCTATAATAATATCAATGACGATACGCACACAATGCGATTATTATTATTTTACATATAACGATTTCCCAAAGTATCTACGACCTATAATAATAGGTATATATGTACGGTATACTAATAGCAAAGGTTGTCAAATAAATTAATGGAAGTAATTAACTCTAGTTAAGGATAATAAAATAAGTTAACAGTTGACAAATTATATAGATTAACTCGACAAGTTAAAAATTTATTATTGAAAATAATATTTACTTAACTTAATTTAAAAAGAGTTAATGTATTTTCTTAAATTAGTATGCAAATCGCATAAAAAGTGACTGTGTCTATCTAATCTTATAAAATAGGTAGATCAGTATACAAAATTATTTTATCAAAAAAAATAACAGAAATTTTTGTTTTATTTGTATTTTGTATTGGATTATTTTTATTTTAGCTTATTAATATGTACGGAAAAAAGGAAAAATTTCAAAATATTTTTAACTTGGTGGGTTATTATTTTTAAATTAATTGATAAAAGCCAAGTTATTTCAACTGTCAGTTAAACTGTAATTGTTGAAGCTAAAAAGTTTTAAAAAAATTTACTTTTTAACTAGTTAATGCCCACCATTGGTACTTATTGGTACCTATATGTTGTAACAATCGGTGCGGGTACGGTGACTGCGCAACTATTGTTATATCATTACATTAATCTATGGTTCGATATTTTGAGACTTGCAAAAATATGTAAATCGAAAGTCTGCAGACACGCCACGATGATCGATGGCCAGCCGTATAGTCGCTGGCTACGAAGTTACCTACGACTCTATACGAGGTTCTGCGGTTTCGGCGAGGGCGCGTGCTGTCCACGAATAAAGATAAAATAATAATATCTTAATTCGTGGTTCTACCTTGGTAGTTTATTATATACTATAGAGTATTGGGTAACTAATAACTATTAAGTAGCCGAGGTAACATCGGGTCGATTGGCTCCCCCATATTATATAGTCTTAGTTGTATTAGTCTTGTCTCTTGTGGTCATCTATACTGGTCTCCGATTTTTGTGCTATAGATAATATTATTAAGAGCTCAAAGTTTTGTTTGATGTAGCCATCATTTGATAAATCCACTCGTTGAGTTTTAGCGTATGATCGAGACTTTTATTGCAGATAGATAGGTATCTTTATCCGTGACTAAGACTACTCTATTACAGACTAATATCAATATATTTAGTCGATGACTAATTTTAAATAATAGATCTAAAATCAAACTATTTTTAAAAAAAATGAATATTTCTTATAATAACGTAGGTACTTATTGATGTTATCATTCGACAAAAACTACGATTTTCTATACATAATTACATTTACAGTGGCAGCCTACCACGGTCCTTCCACAACATTGCTGGTCCGACCTTAAACATTATATATCAATTTTATTTTTGGTCATATTTCAAGCTAAAATAAGTTGTAGATAGGTCACTATAGGCACACGATAATATGTAATTAGCAGTAATATACAACATATAACTGTTATTTTTTTTATATATAATCATACATTAATAATACTACCTACAATCTACAACATATACTTGTACTGTATATATGGTATTACCTACAKATTACAATAATTTAAAATTTTCCTACTAACACTGTGTTTGTATTGTTTTGTTATGTCTAAAGTAAATGTCATCATGTAGAAGTGAAACGACATAATATTCTCGTAGAATTTTTTCATTAAGAGGACGCGACACCCGCATGTGTTGTCTTCGTCGTACAAGTGCGTAGCATAGCAAATTTTACGCTCAGCAGATCACGTTTATCTCCGTT